TAACCCAGTTTCTAGCGTTGTAAGTCTGCAGACATACCGCTGTGTCACTGGGGGGCTTGTTTGTTTGAAGTTAAGCACAAAGCTACACAATGGGCTATCTGTGCTCTGCCCACCACAGGTATTGAAACCCAGATTCTAGCATTGTAAGTCTGCAGACATACCGCTGTGTCACTGGGGGGCTTACAGGTAAATACTTTTAATCATATCACGTCCTCTATTGACAATAATTTCTGAGAAAAAAACTCCAGGGTTGTTAAAGAAAACAGTAGTGTTAGAATCACTAAAATGTATTGAAATTTTACTTTGACAGAAGAGTTTCTAAGTTGTGAATTTAATCTTCTTCTTACCAACTGGAACAAATACTGAAGTAATTAACCATCTGTTCACGAGGACAACCACACTGACCGACTTCAGGTCTTTCAAAATATACATACTCATTTTTACTATAACTCAGAATTTTCCAGGTGTGTTTTCACAAAAATTGGCGAGCTTTTAGTAAACATTAAAAAGACTGTTGTGCACAAAAAATCACATTTTTGAACAAAGTATTTCTACTAATGATTTGTCTGTGATTTTCCAAAGCCTTTACCGAATCAATCCGAGCAAAATGTGATTGGTTATAAACATGTCCATCAGCCATGTAAGTATGACTAGCAAACACTATCAAAAGTTGGAGAGAAAGGAGGAAGAGCTTTCTTGGTGGGTGGGTTTAACAATTTAATGATATCTCGAAAAAACAAGGAGGTACGATGCTCAGTTTTTATATTATTTCTTGTAATTATGTGTAGTTTGTGTTTGTAATTGGTTGAAAACTTAAAAGCAGCCATTTTTTTTTTATGTTGGAAATGGAAAAAATCTGTCGCAACACAAGAAAATGATTTTTTTAATATTTCTTTTTGAAATTAAGAGGTTGAAACTTAGGGTAATATATAAATTTTAATTATAAGATAAATTTTCGTGGCAACTTGATTGAATACATTGATTACAGATTTGTTGAATTAAATTTTGAACATAACAGTATAAAAGATTGTGACGTGTTAAATGAACACGCTCGTGTGTGAAAGGTTCATAGGCTTTTTACGAACCTTAAAATTCACAACATTTGCAGAATTGAACATTTATTAACAATACATTAAAAAGAAGATAATCGTCTCCCTCTACTTATGTAGAAGTCCATCTTCTAAGTTTATAGAAAGTGCGTGGCCTTGAGTTACTGCAGAAAACACCAAGAAAATCTTCACAAAAAAACCTAAATCTCATCATTCTTATTTACCTTGATTGGAAAGAATCCAACTAAAAATTTTACCTACCCAGAAAATGTCGTAGATGAAGAGTCCACCCAAAAGAATGGTGCCAGTAATCACACTGTTTAAATGGAGAAGTTCCACACCATTTACAGCAAAAGCTAGTCCAAACAAGTTGTTAGCGACCCAGTGCTGTAAGACAAACATAACTATACTGTGAACTAAAAATAATAACTAAAACTTCAAGTAAGAAGTACTGAGCTAACATAAAAGTTATTAACTGTTAACACCAGTTACAATATCCCATCTACCAATGTCATTAACTGTTAACATTAGTTACAATATCCCAACTACCAATGTCATTAACTGTTAACACTAGTTACAATATCCCAACTACCAAGGTCATTAACTGTTAACACTAGTTACAATATCCCAACTACCAATATCATTAACTGTTAACACCAGGTACAATATCCCAACTACCAATGTCATTAACTGTTAACACATTACTGTTAACACCAGTTACAATATCCCAACTACCAATGTCATTAACTGTTAACACTTTATTGGTAGATGGGATATTGTAACTGGTGTTAACAGTTATCATTAACTGTTAACACCAGTTACAATATCCCATCTACCAATATCATTAACTGTTAACACCAGTTACAATATCCCAACTACCAATGTCATTAACTGTTAACACTTTACTGTTAACACCAGTTACAATATCCCATCTACCAATATCATTAACTGTTAATGCTAGTTACAAGATCCCAACTACCAATGTCATTAACTGTTAACGCTAGTTACAGTATCCCAACTACAAATATCATTAACTGTTAACACTAGTTACAATATCCCAACTACCAATATCATTAACTGTTAACACCAGTTACAATATCCCATCTACCAATATCATTAACTGTTAACACCAGTTACAATATCCCAACTACCAATATCATTAACTGTTTACCCCAGTTACAATATCCCAACTTCCAATATCATTAACTGTTAACACCAGTTACAATATCCCATCTACCAATGTCATTAACTTTTAACACTAGTTACAATATCCCATCTACCAATATCATTAACTATTAACACCAGGTACAATATCCCAACTACCAATGTCATTAACTGTTAACACTAGTTACAATATCCCAACTACCAATATCATT